TTTTCTCACTAGTACGATAGCATGTGAGCCATGATGTATTTTTGGAAACTTCCACTCATTGCTTAACAGTGAACGTGAAAGAGATAAATGACATGTGGACATACACCTTACACCTTTCCAATGATTGATAATATCGGCCCAGGCTCCTGTACTCCTACTTTTCCCAGAAACTTCTCTCCACGTATAAGCTGAAGTAAAAAAAAGCCCAATGCGTTCACATATTTTTGCCGAGACTATTCATTTCGAAGAAAGCGTCATAGGAGTGTTCAAAAAGCCGCCATATTTTACGAAATCTCTTCATATTTTCTTGGACGACAAAGCATGAATAGAACGCTTGATCCGATCACTGACATCAATCTGAAACTGTCGTTCAGAAGAATCCAGAAATGATACGGTGCAGGTGATTTCGTTGCGGGACGCAGTTAGTAGTGAGGGATTCAGTCCTTCGCTTCGACGAACGTCGTAACTGCCCGAACCGAAGCGCATTCCTCAAGTCATGTCTTGAAAAAACTGAAAGAGTTTGAGTACTTCAAGGTTATGGAAAAAATATGATAGGATAGAGAACACTTGCGGAACAAATGCTTTTTTTCCTATCGCGAAGTAAGTGAGTGAACACGTCTGCAAACAATAGAGATTCAAACTTTTAAAAAGCGTTTCATGTGAAGATCAACAGTGTTATGCAAAACAAACTACTCAAGAGAGTATGTTAACAGTCGATACAACACATAGCCATGTTTTATCAACACACGAATGCTGTATGAGCCATGTTTGCCTTATTTAAATTATGAGCAAAAGCACAAGAACATACTGCTTTTGGTGGACTAGTAGCTATATGTGGGACACTATGAACCAGTCATGACTCATTCGAAGAGAAAGATTACATAGTTACCACAGATGGCTCACTCTGCGACATCTAGAGAGCCTCGGTGAACAAAAGGAGGTTCCAGAGCGCGTCTCGGCTCTAATGTGTTAATCTAACGGCTTTTTGAGCTGATAATTAGATGTCATTCCGTACACATGGACAAAATTATGAAAATAAACTGGAAAAGTATAAATTGCTACCCCCTACTAAAAGTTGGATTTCTAAAGAGATGAAGTGGAAAACAATAGGCACATGAAGAAATAGAATAACAAGAGAATTCATTCTATTTTCATAGAGAATAGCAATTTTGAGAAAGTCGAAAGAACACAAAAGACGCTATTACTAGAATGGTATGATGCTACTCTGTTGCGGCAGGACTTGCGTCTTTATGAAAGTTAGGTCTAGAACAGTAGGTATAGTGGGAGCTGAAAATACACTGGAAGCCAACATGTAACTGTGTCGCTGAGAAACGTCACTGATAGACCGTGTACAGAGTGAACAACGACACTAGAGCGGACTAAGAGAATCAAGCAACTTGATAAAACTAACTGAAAATAAACATAAGCATTGATTTTTAGGTGAGTGAATAAGGAAAAGGACAAAGCTGTCAGGCTCGATCAATGCCTGAGGAATGCGCTCTACATTTGGCTTCACTAAGTGTCGTCTCAGAGGAAAATGAATGCTTATCTGGTCAATACATTGACTTTCTATAGTCTGTATGTGCTAAGTTAGTGTACTTATCCCTCCAGACTAGTTGGGAGCCAATATGTCGACGTAGGAGAAATGAACGGTTTGGTTTGCCCAAGTGGCGGAATGAAACCCACCACCGTTCGTTCGCTTAAGAACACCTTTAGCTACTGCTCTAAGTTGTTAGGAAAATCCACTCGACGTCCAGGTTTTCAAGCGTAAATGTCACTCCAATCATTGTTTTTTCTTGATGCTGTCGTCTTTGGAATCGTCTCTTGATTGAGTTTGTGAAAAAATATCATTAGCTGAAATGATGGCCTTGTGTCTAAAAGGACTATTGAGAAAAAAAGTTCGATTATCCTCAATAGATTACTAAAAGTGGTTTTCGTTTCGGATCCTTCATATAGTCATTATGAAAGATTCGCAAAATTTTGCAGGTCTAAAAGGACTATTGAGAAAAAAGTTCGATTATCCTCAGTAGATTACTGAAAGTGGTTTTCGTTTCACATCCTTCATAGATTCAATGAAAAAGATTCGGAAAAATCTGTAGTGGCAAGAAAATTACCGATCCTTTCTTCAGGAAAACATACGTAGTTGATTCATAGATTTGCTATCGACTTTTCTTCATTGAAAAATGTATGGAGAACATTGAAAGCATAATTTTTCCAACTAGTAGAATGATGTAAATTATACGAAATAAAACAGAGCTACTAATCAAACATAAATGTTCAAAGTACAACAGTTGCAAGTAATGAAACTGTTGACAATCGAAGAAAAATTGGAGAAGTAGAATCTGGTAAAGCGTGGGCATTATACAGGTTTCTTTCAGGGCATCGTCAATGAAAAGGCTTTTAATAAACTGCTTCCAGACTGGGCTACTACATCAACTTAAGCTCTTCTTTTTTAGGTTAGGTGGCATTGTGAAATAGTAGGCCCATCTTCTATAGAGGTAATATATGTGGTAATCCAAGCAGCCTTAACTGATACTAGAGCAACGCCTCAACCTATTCATCCCAGTTAATGGAACTGAGTAAAGTCACGATTTGCATAAGCTTTGAGTGGTATACGTTTATATTGTTATCCATTTCCTACACTGAAAAGCTATCATTTTGGTCATCTGACTCAGTTATCATCATCATGGCTTCATTTATGTAAAGGATAACCGGATTTATCACCATAGAGTCCATTAATCATTGAATAGTTTTTTTTCTTCATCCGTCTCCAATATGCGAGAAGCTTTCGAATTGATCTTTTTCGGAACGCAAGGGCAATTCAAAATCATTGTTTCAATTTTTTTCTAATAGAAAATCGTAGGTACTTTACCAGTATCTAGCTTGTCATAGGTTTATCCCCAGCTTGACTATATGGTGAAAATAACAAACTACAACTAAAAAACCACTGAAGGAGAAGAAAAGAATGGAGAAACGAAATGGAATCGGAGCTAGAAATAAAGTGGAAAAAAAACAAGAACCGAAATAGGGGAATTGTGGTCTCATATACATTTCCCGCATAGAAGAACTACAGTTATTCGGCGATTGTCTTTCGATAAGTGACCGGAAAGAGATAAAAATGAATGACGAACAAAAGCCAATGGCTTACTGATGGTTAAAAAATGCAGCCGAATAATTGTTACAGAAGTCCCTGGTGAAATTCGTAAAAAATCCAATCAATTGAAAAATAATCATTTTTAAGAAATCTTGACAAATTTTGTCGAAGTCAAACCATGTCTATTGTAAAAATTTAGTACAGTAGCGCATTGAAATCAGTATTTTATACATCACCAATGATCAGCAAAGTCTCAGTGAATTGAATTCCTGACGTAATCGTTCCACTGTTCGAAATACAGAGCGAGAAAAAAACTTGAATGGCATACAAGTGGTGTGAGAGGGCTACCATTACCGTATACACAGACAGCATAGTGCCCGTACGTTACATTAGGTGTTAATCAAAGATTTGGTGTAGTTCTTGGAAAAGGGGAAACTTTTTTATAATTGCTTTACACAAAGTTGTTAATGAGCAATGCAGAGGGATGTCCCATTAGAAGAATGATGTCAGTATCGTAAAATGCCTAGAAGAAAGTTGTTCAAAAGAATAAAGACCTGCTAGGTGGAGAGGAGACGAAAATAAGTGCGGATACGGTGGCGACAGAACTTTTGGAAACATAAAACATGGAATCTAAGTGTCTAAAATTTCCAACGAAAGATCGGCAATTGCAATAATAGACGGTACATTGGGAAATACTATCATGTCGCGTTGAACGCAATCCTGCTTGTTCCTTCGCTTTCATGTTCGAAATATGGGTGGCATAGTAAAAAGTGGAAGAAATTTATATCGTGGGCAGATTTTCTTCATGATAAAACGTTCAACACGTCTTTCTTATAGTCAACGATTGTCACACTTTAATAGTGAGATTTTAGCTAGTAAAATTCACTATGAATTAAATTATATTTGATCAAAGTTGAAAGTGGTTATTATTTACGCATCGTGTGATTACTATATGGGTCAAATCGCCAATCTAATGTTAAATATTCAGGAAAAGAGTTAGAAACATGGCGACAAAAACAATTAAAGAAACAAGTTGATTTCATGAACTGATCGGTGATCCAGAAGAAACCCTTTGCAGTTTTTGAACGCTGCAGGTGAACGATAAAGGTGAAACGCGAGTTCAACTGGCGTTTGAGATTTGAAGTTTCGTCACTCAGCACTCTTGGAAATAAAGTTGGATAATTCTTGCAGAGTTGAGGCTCTGAAAACATTCAGATATTCAGTACAGTGAAATAAGCTTGATGGAGTGACTTTTCAAAAGTCGTGGAAGCTATGACTATGTCTTTCGTCTGAGATCTAGTGATGAGTGGGGCTGTTAACCTATTCGACAGTCTGAATGGAAGATGTGATTAAAGCGTTGATATCTATGCATACGCTTTGATCTATACGTTCCGTGCTACTCGCAAAAAGTGATCGTTACAGGATTTTCAGAACTGTCGTTCTACTGCTCGGTTACCAAGTGGGAAAGAAGTGCCTGAAAAGGTGGAGTTTAACCCATTTGGAGCGGCGTGTAACTGCTGATACGTGACTGTTTGAGGGATTCTCTTGCTGGGTAGAGACTTTCTTTGGACTTTCAAAGATAACCGAAAGCCTAGAACTCGGCGATTTCAACAGTTTGCTAAATTTTTCGAGAATGCTTCTTATTGCATTATCAATTGAAAAACTTTTTACTAACTGCTTCTACAGGTGGTATGGTGTTTTATATACATACATTTATCTATCTATTTATTTATTTATACATATATATTCAATATTGTTGAGTCATATGCAAAACTTTGAACGTCGAATGGTAATTGAACCCGTATTTCACCCTTTTCGGGGCGTGTACTTTCCGGGCTGAACCGTTGGCGGTCGATCTCTGACAGATCGACACATATGTGTCGCAGAAAGAGTGCTCGCAGAACGAGCGCCGCTAGTGCAATGGTCAGCACGCGCTCACGGAAAGGGTGGAATGCGGGTTCGAATCCCGCTCGGCCTTCACAGTTTTGTGTATGATTCAACACTATTGGATATATATATATATATATATATATACGTATACATATTCTTACTATACTTACACATGTATGTATATACATGTATTTGTAACTTCTTATTGCGTCGTAGTTGTGAAGCTCATCACGGCGCCACGTGGGCCGATTCCCACGTTCACTACTCTCCGTCAGTTAGAATCGAACGTCTTATGGAAAGCCACAGCCAGACTATCCACGAGATTGCAAAGAGACTCGCTCAACCGGTATTCTACGACGACCAAGAGGAAGACGAAAACGAGTTGCATGCTAGAAGTACTGGGATCCGCACAGTGAAAAAACACTGCGAAGATGGATTGATAAAGTCTCAAGCATTGCGTTGAACCTGCGATAATAAAAATACACTTCACACTTGGTTTGCTTTGTTTGCACGGCTGGGATCTGTAAACTCTGAACTTTAGTTATTCAAGAAGTCAAATCCTGAAGATTTTGGTCAGAACTATTCTCCAAAAAAACCTTTTGAACGCTGTAACCCTTAGCACTTTAGCACTTTATTTAATCCGTCATCACAGTCTTTTTTTCACTGTGCGAATCCCAGCACTTCTAGCATTCAATTCGTTAATCGTATTCTTCTTGGACGTCGTAGAATACTGGTTGAGCGAGTCTCCTTGCGATCTCGAGAATAACCTTGCTGTGGCTTTCCATAGGACACTGTTGTTGACTGACTGAGAGAGGTTGGGAGTGGAGCTCGCCTACGGCGCCCCATAGAACGCTCTTAAAGCAAAAGAAATAACGTTTTGTACCCGAAATGATTTACAAGTATAGTTTATGTGTTAGAGGCACTTTATCGCTGCAAAAAATAGATTACCACAAAGAAAACATTTGTAAAGACATTTCTGTAAGAATAGCGATCACGTGACAAAAAGTTCCAGGTGTTTCCATGAAAAAAAGACGTCCTTACGGAAAAGAACTCACTTACAACTTCTACAAAGCATTTATCTTCTATCTAATCTATGTTTTCGTTTCATTCGATAGCTTGAAAAACGTTTATTTTTATGTTATTATGTTAAACTTGTTCTATACAGAGACTTTTATGGTATGTTCTACTAACAGAAAGAAGGTAATGTTTAGACTTCAAAAAGACAAAAGCCTTTACTTGAACTTCACAGCGGGTTTCGCTGGTGTACATAGTACAATTTTATTTCAAAGAAATTTTGGCACCACGAATGGATAGTTTATCACTGAAGAGACTTCTGTAAGTGTGAAATTAGTAAAGAGTATACCCAATCACCCTAAAAACTCCTCCTTTTCAATGCAAAAGCTGCGTTCTTGTGATAACAGCCCCTTTACAATCTTGTTTTCACATTGCTTTCGACAATATTGTTATTGTGTAACCCAAGAAATACAGTGAGCTTGACTTCTAGAAAGAATCTATCCGGAGGGTTTTTTTGGTATCTGGCTGAAATAAGCCGTGACAGAGTTCGCCTTCATCATTCTCTAGAGTAATTTTTGAGAAAGCGTGTGTTTCCCACCCAAATTTTCGAATCCTTCCCTTGATGTTGTAATTTTTTTTACTCAAAATATTCAGCAATGAACTAGTCATACAATCACCATCACTCAGCAACAATCACCTTTGCTCATACATTAGCACCGATCAACAATTTACCCTTGTTATGTTGAATTTAACTTGTGACAGTCAAAAAGAAATACTTCCTACTCTTTTATCAGGGCTATTAGTAGTCATGTGATAGTTGAAAAATGGAGAATTCACTAATAAACTAATCTGTAGAAAGTTTTTTCAGTGCACAGTACCGGTAAGGAGAAAAATACGCTTAGCTCAACCTCACAACGAGTTTTGCTGGTAGTTCATTAGTAAAATTTACATGATCGGAACACTTCATCGTCACAAAAATGACACATCGTTGAGGAGAATATTTTGTAGTATTTTTAGTGAGAAGAAAGCCCATGTGTCCCATTAGTCTGTATTTTTCAAAAGGAAAACGGCATCCTTTGGAAAGAAATATATTTCGAACTATCATTACGCATTCTTATCAACTATCTTATAACAGTGAGACCGACTTTTCCTACTCATCGTTCATCCTCTGGCCAAAGATATGTCTGTTCTATAATAAACACTCAAACATCGGAATGCACAGTTCGTAAAGTCGATAGGTTCCTTGCATCTGAGCCTTACGTTTTCTTGAACACCTCTCGTCGTCATCAAAGAGTGAGATGGGAATCTGAGTGACGATACCCTTCTTTGACCACTCACCCGATATCTCTTAATCGGTCTTCTATTAATGATGTTGCGCACAATACACTACAACATTGACCGGACTTTTGACGGTTTTCCCTTCTCTGGAGCTTGGGAAGGTCATGTTGACTCGTAGTATCTTCAGTCGACTACTTCCGAAGTCTGAAAATGCCTGTGGTTTTCCTACAGAATTCTTGTCTTATGCAAAACATTCGACTCCTCTCCGCATATGTCAACTATGAATAATTTACACCAATCAACAAAGTCTATGAATCCAAGCGATGAAAGTGGAGGAGCATACTCATGTGAAGCAATTTCGCGGACCAGGTCTTGGTACAGTGGTGGAAGGCCCCAACCACCCGCAGGTTATGACATTGGAGTTATTTGAGAGGTTGGAATTTGAGGGAGATAGAGGGAATCGTCTTGAGGATAATCAACTAAGAGATTTGTAGAACAAGCAAATGTTAGTAGCAAAGTGAGTAAAAAAAGAAGAGATACTTATAAAACATTAGAAGAAAGTTAAATCTATAATTCTACAAAGACTAGATTCTGGGATTTAGTAATAATTCAAAAATCATTGAGGGCTATCGATGAACTGCATAGCATGCGGTTTGACTTTTGACTTTGGGACTTCCTAAAGTGCAAAATACCAGAACATGAAGATTTATAGTGCAATATTATTCTAAAACTTATTATAATTGACTGAATGCGAAAACAGTCTGATTGCATAGAGCCTTTTTCTTCACACGCATGAGCTATATATGCTTCAAAAGCATAGGAGCATGTAGAGTAAACCGTGACATATTATAGTAAAACGAGAAAGCAGAAGTTTTTTCTCTCCGTCTGAGAGAAACTTCAACCAAATAATGAAAATCGCGCATCGGGATTGGCGCATGAACACTATAGCTCCCATAGGGGGCGGAAAATGGGTAAATAAAGAACAACAGAGGGAAAATGCATATCCCACCAGAGATAAATCACACAAATGCAAATTATAGCGCTTTCAGAAGCTGACGAATGGCGAATGGAAGGAGATAGTAGTTTATGCGACGAAAATGGGAGTGAATAGAAATGGGATCACAACTGAAGATTAAAAATGTAGGATTTGAGAATTAAAAGGTAGAGGAATATATGGGTAGAAACACTACGAAATAAGAATGAACAATGGTGATGATGATGATGGCGATGATGAGATAAGTTGACAAAGTTTGAAAATGACATAAGCAATGTAATGAACACGAAAAATTACAATAAATAGATTGCGAATGGGAAGTAGCAATATAGGAAAGAAAAAGAATATTGTGAACAAGAAATAACGACAATGACAATTTGCTAACGTTACCGATCACGGTATGGTTAGAAAAAAAAGTGAAATGAAGTAAAGTAGCAATAAGAGGAAAAAGAATAACAATAGGAAACGAAATTGTGTGGAACCGGATGAATGATAGGCAGTCAGGAAGAGGTAACGAAAAGAACAAGAGTAATGATGTGATGCGGGTGATTGCCGTCGTCATAGTACTCTGTAACCGACCAGTCGCAGCCGACTGAAGGATTTCGAAGGCGCATTAGAATGTGCGCCTAGATTTTTGGTGTAAGTAATATCGAACGAAGACCGAATTCCAATAATGGATCGCTAGAACCTGTCTGAATGATCACATTTGCAACTGGAATGTGGTGCTGAAGAAGTACGAAATCAATCAAAACATCGCCAATAATTGCAAATATTCATGAGAAGAAAATTCGCATTTGCTGAGAGAGAGAGAGAGCGAGAGAGAGAACGGTTCAACGGGAGAAGTTTTAGCGCGTGAACGAAGAACGATAAAGGCTCCAATGGTGGTGTCTCTTCATCGTTTGCCAAGGCCACGTTGCGCTAAAAGAACACGGACACCATTGTTTGTCACGCCCGGCTCGTCTTCATTTTAACTCGAACACCAGCACATCATCGCCAATCATGCAATCGTATTAATCTCCAAGCACACACGGCGGTCGCTGAGAACCGAACTTAAGATCTTCGACCGATTTGACGCTCAGAGAAGGAGTCCATAAGTGAAGATCCTGGAAAACTGGACTCAAAGTCGCTATCTTAATTTTATACGGTCAGTGATTTTCTATTGTAGACAGCGACACACTAGTGTATACAAATCCCAGTACAATGGTCTGAAGGACAACATTAATAGCCTAGTTTCCTCAACAAATGATAAATGTGAGTTTCACACTGGTCACTGCTGTTGAAAAAAAACCATTTCCTTAGAATTCTGCTAAACTGCAGCTACTGTTATTCAGTTTTTGGATATATTCCTTTCTTAATCATTAAAGATCTTCAAAAGTGGCAGAAATTTGAATTCAATGCGTATTTACGATGATGTTTGTGTTGAACTTTTTTTCAGAGGTAGAATTTCCTCCTAATATTGGCGAAATTTACACCATGTCAGATAACCCACGAGGTGACGAGCCAACTGCTAAGTTTGCCGCCCACAAATGCAGTTGGTGACGTTGGCGGTAATCCAATGGATGGCACATTTGAACCCCATCGGTAGCAGGTGTCATTCCATAGAAGAGCCATGATTAGCCATCGATCGGACAATTTTTCGAAAACTCTCAACACCTCGAATAATCATTTTCAACGCAACTGTGCTCAAGGTTTTAGAAAAAAAAAGCCAGCAGTAAGTGTTGACTTTCGTTCAGCACTCAATGAAGAATTAAGCTTGAACTGTTAACAGTCTTCTTCTATAGGATGTATTTCCAATGAGAAGATTAC